TACATCATGCTCTATGGGTTATAGAACTATTTGACCTAACAGACAAAAAATACCCAGAAATATTCTCAGCTTCGAGGGAGTAAGTGGGCAGAACGACCAGCTGGTTAAAGCTCAAACTCTGACGAACTGACAGCATCTTTTTGCCGTCCATAGACGGGTACCCATTCTCAACACTGCAAGGAACATTGCTGTAAAGTGCAAATCCTTGGGTCCCTGACGGAGTTCGAACAGTTAACTTTCGGTTACAAGCCCGACAGCCTAACCGTAAGACCACCGACACCACTAAGAATAACAAAGGAATAAACAACTGAAAGGGATAGCGACAAAAACAAATTGGGTAATGGAAAGTCTAATATGCTAAAAGCAAGATCTTTTTTTTAAAAGGTTGGAGAGTTCATCAACCCTGATTGCTCGCGGAAGGGCAAGTAAAAAAAACAACAAAACTGTTGAGAAGTAGGGCGGCGCGTGGGTCTTAACATAGCGAAGAAGAGCCAGGCAATGTTTGTTACATTATTTTGAGCTACTAGTACATCAGCCCGTTCATAGAACGGGGAAAGACAACATTAGCGATAAAAACTGCATCAAGAGAAGGCAGCATGTAGATGACAGTATACAACACTGATAACTCCCGTGACAAATTAATCCAAAAATGCGGCCATAATTCTGGTGACTGTTACAGTATGGTCCTGTACACAATGTTGCTTGAAAAGAATTAACCTTCATGAGCAGGTATAGAAACATTGACGGATTGGAAACTCTCTGTCCTTGACAAAGCCACATAAAGCTGTCCATGTGTGAAAACAGGTTCTGGTAAATACTCACCAACTTTGGCAAATGTCTGACCTTTCGATTTAATGATGGTCATCGCAAAGCACGGACGAACTGGAAATTAACGTCAGTGCAAAGTGAAGGGCAGGCCAGAATCTGATGGAGTTAATGTGATTCTTGGAATGAAAACACATTTTCCCTTACTTTTTCCAATAAAGAATTTTCCTTCAATGACTCTTGTTCCGAGGGGAGTAACAATCAAACGTGTTCCATTCAGCAAACCGTGACTCGGATTCATATTTCTTAATAGCGTAATGTGAGCCCCTACTTTTAACTTTAAAACGTGGGGTGGTAACCAAGAGATTGTTAAAGCATTAAGAAACTCAACAGGGAAAAGTGTAGGGTTGTCTACATCCCATGCTGAATCTGCGCTGAAGTAGGTTCTCTCTGGTGATGCCAGCTTTTTAAGTATTTGTTCATTAACTGTTTTATCAACTGACTCGTTAGTTGTTGTTAAAATTGCTACATTCTCTTAAGAAAGATCAGTAAAGATGGCATCTATGAATGACTGAAGATTATTCAATTGTAAACACAAAAGAGGTGGGGATTTTAGGAATTATTTACCAATTTCTGGATAATAATATGTTGTTTCATTTCCATCGCTTGTGCTTAGTAACCATTCAGAAAACCCATCCCCACCATTTGCACACATGTCTTCGCCAAAATAATGTCATTCTGGAAAGGAAAGTTCGTGAGGTGGAGCGGATTGTCTACCCTCTCATCTAGAGCTGGGGGACGCTGTTGTCGAATAACCTGATCATGCCAATGATTTTGATCGAGATTTAGATCTATGTTATCTTGCAGCTGTAGATCTAGACCTGCTTGCCATTGGATCTGGCGAGATCGGCGTCTGACCCTATCTCGAGATAGCATTTTTTAAATCTGTCTAGATCTAGATATATACTTAGATCTAGCCTATCTGACCCAATCTCAAGATGGCCTCTTCCCTCACTTCGCTTGGCTCTAGTCACGTTTTGGTTTAAACTTCGTTCGGCTCTGGTCGTGTTTTGGTAACTTCGCTCTGCTCTGGTGATGTTTTGGTTTAAAACAGAGATAAAATTCGGAATATCCGCTGTTCCTTTTTTCTCCCAACACGTGAAAACACAGCCGCTAGATCTATTTATTTGTTCTCTCTAAAAGTTAAAACACGCAAACGGTTATAATATTTAGTGTTAATACCGTTTGTTTAAGTTTATTAATTGCATTATTGTGTTTTTTTGCTGTACACACGCATTTTTTGCCTACCCTGCGAACTACTTCGAGACTTTGCGAGACATTGGGCTCGCGGCTGTTCCATTTGTACCATTTCCTCCACTGTTTGCGATCCGTACGATCAAAAAGCATTTTTTTAAAAATACATTAATTGTTGGGCTACCAAAGTTGGTGCTACTATGGACAACTTGTGTAAATTTCCATACTTTCTGTGTTGTAGTAATCTCTGTAGCTTTGACAGACCTCCGAAAACCTTATAATCTTTTTATAATAGACGTGGCTTAGTGGGGTTGTTTGTTTTTTCGATTGATCACCGACTAGGATCCACCACTGTACACTTTGGTATTGTGAGCTCAAAGTCAAGGGGTAAAACTAAATGTTTAAGTTCCCAAGAAAAAATTAAGATCTTAAAAAACATAGTAGATGGACTACTTTGACCCTGTCTGACAGAGCAAACCCGGTCTGAGACGTAAGAGTGTAATTTTTTTTTCTGTAGCCCCAAAAAGTATGTTTTTGACAGAAGGTCGAGGAAATCGTCAATCTTCATAAAAAGGGGCAATTGGGTTGTTTTATAACTTTGGTTTCTCCCCTTCTCCCCTCTTTCATTCTCTCTCTCTCTCTCTCTCTCTCTCTCTCTCTC